CCTAACTAAGGCGTGCGCTCGGCCACCCCCATTTGGGCTACGTATGGCAACTGTTAGGAATGCCTAACTAAGGCGTGCGCTCGGCCACCCCCATTTGGGCTACGTATGGCAACTGTTAGGAATGCCTAACTAAGGCGTGCGCTCGGCCACCCCCATTTGGGCTACGTATGGCAACTGTTAGGAATGCCTAACTAAGGCGTGCGCTCGGCCACCCCCATTTGGGCTACGTATGGCAACTGTTAGGAATGCCCAACTTAGGCATGCATCATTCCTTCCGAATTAGGACCTAATGCGGTAACGATTAGGCTTGCAGCATTTAGGTGTGCCTATCGTTTCCGTATTAGGTCTACATTCGTGTTTAGGCATGCCTAACTGAAATTCTACTCGAGATTTTTCCTTTTAGGAACATTAATATTTACTGGAAGAGAAAGAGATTAATAGTACATTGTTTGCTAAATCAGTTACAAAATTTTTGTTTAATTCGTAGTATAAACTTTTTCCTAGTTCTTAGTACAAGTTGAGAGAGAAAAAAACATTTTTATAGAGAAATAAACGGTACTAAATGAAACTACTGTTTTGTAAAACTTCATTGTTTGTGATGTCTCGTATCGATTACCGCCAATTGCAATATTATACATTGTACGCTGTATAATTTAATTTAGCATATTAATATCACTCTGATTTTAAACGTCAGGATATTATAACTGCATCGCGTAATATATTTGATATTGTATATTCCTTAAACAATTTTCTGGCCTTGCTTTCGGAAATAAGGTTTCACAGATGTTTGAACAGGGGGGCGATACAATAGTGCAATATCCATCATAATTTAGCACACGATCAGGTATCAACGGTGATCCACACTGAATAGGAGAAATTATGATATTCTGGTTTTATTCGATTCTACTCGTTTCGTTAGACGATATTAATATAAATTATACTTGTAATTGGGCGCCGTGTCGGAAGCAGTTTCAATAGGAAAATTGAAGGAAACGGTTCTCGTTAGAAATAGTGGCCCCCAGTGAAATTGCGCGTTCGTACCCGGCTGCTTTTCCAGACTTCAATATCACCGCAGTCCTTTTTGTAATGAAATAAATATTTCTAAGAATTTTTTTTTTGCTCATGTTGTTAATGAAAAAAACTCTGGCACGTTCCATTCAGCATACCTTTCAACCGCTCTGTTCTCGTTTAATTTCCCCTACAACGTTTTCCACTGATTTTTCAAAACGAAATCTCCCAGTGAAAAGAGAAGACCGATCGAATTTTTTCGATGCTTGACGAGACGAAGAAATTGCGCGATGAATTCTACGCCTACTGCAATTGATTCGACTAGAAAAACGATTAATTAAACACCGTAGAATACGCATTTCTCTGTGTGATGAGAAAGTGGAATTTCGAAACTAGTTTAACCCTTTCACTGCTGTTGGCGCCTGTAGGCGTTGTGAAAATTTCCTCTCACTCTGCTGTTGGCAACTTTTGCCACACTTTCACCTTAATTTCTGCCCTGATTCGATAAAATAACGAATTTTAATAATTTTTTGCAAAATTTTGAAACGCCGTAACAAGATTTTGCAGACGTGATTGAACATCTACTGTCTGCTGTAGCTTCTTTTCCTTGTAACACGTCCAATTTTTCGCGTTTATTTAACCCTTGTACAGAGTTTGAAAAGTTGTACTGATAAGTAGACTGCGGATTTTTATGCAAATTTGTATTTTTGCGAATATAGCAAAAGAAGTAGAACTTTGATAAACAATTATTTCACCTACCAGGTATTACAAAAAGCACTATAATTTGGACATTTTGGGTATTTCTCCATATTACGTGCATTCTGTGCAATTTTGTACCTTCAAATTTCCTCTAAATGCATAAAAATCCGCAGACTGCTGATAAGTAAATTTGGGTCAAAATTGACCTAGTATCGTATATTTACAAAAAATAGGAATAAAAAAATGAAACTCAGTTCGTTCAATTATTACAGCTTAATATTTCAATAATTTATTAATCTCCTACAAAATAATTTCAATATTAACACACTGGAGCCGCGTTTGACATGGGTTTAGGGTGTTTTCGCGCCTTTTTTCCAGTCGCGTTACGTTGAAAAAAGCAGCTGTAGCTGTCTGACCAATTAATATTTTTCAACGAAATTTTGTTTTAACTCGTGAAACATCTGTTGTGCCATTTCCGAAGAGAAATTCGACCATTTGTAGCGTTTTATAAATTTATTTTCAGACAGATATATGAAAATCTCAGTGACATATTTCCACGTGAACCGCGCTCAAGTCGAAAACTATAAAAATTAAAGTTAAGTAAAAACTATAAATTTGCTCTTTTTCGTAAAGATTATTAACGTTTATAAGATATTTAAGGACACGAAGAAGTTTCAATCCAGATGACATATTTAGTACCAGAGAATAAAGAATTTGTGCCTCGGTTTGCGATCAAATCGACCCACTTTTAGTACAACGGTTAAATGCGGCGCATGTTTGCATTAAATATGTTCGCCTTATTTTCGTCCGGCCTTTCCATTCAATCCAGTCACCCGAACGAATTTTCCTAATACTCCACGTAGTTGCGAATATATCGAGGAGACTGTGCTCGCTGAAAATCCCATCGTCTCCTTTCGCACGATGAGTCAATGCAGTTTGTGCGAATGTTACAGCATTATTTCCTATGGTTTTCTTTGGCGTGTCGCGATTTTCATAGAAGTTCCGGATCAAGCTTCGCAAAGAAACGCAAACCTCTGTGCTATTCTCCATTTATGTTATAGCTACTTGAAATGTTTGTGAAGAGTTTTCGCGAGCGTCTACCGCAGGTCAGTCGCTAATTGATTGTTTTAAAAGCATTCTTGAGCGGTGGAGCAACATCCAACTAATGTAAAGGAAGTTCCTGTGTGTTGCTACACTAGCTTTCAAGTGTGCTTTCAACGAACAGATTTCTTTCTTTGCTTCCTTTCACTCTGAGTAAATAATTTTTTATTAGAATTTGAATTATTCGATTTAACTAAATATACAAATACAGGTCAATTCCATTATCTTTACCAATTGTAATATCCTCGCCGTTTTTAAGAATATGGCATCTTAAGTAGAACTTCTCACAAGAGCAGAGATTACAGTTGATGGAACATTTTCTCTAAGGTGATCGGCACATTTTTGTTTTTTAAAAAACGCCTGAAACGCTTCCTTCAATTTACGTATTTACTCAACTTCACCACTTTTGCTCTATTTTCAAATACTTTTCGGTAGCAAATAAAGTATTTATACAGGGTGAGTCTCCTAACACGACGACTTTAAATAACTCGACAGTTATACGTTGTACGAAAAAATGTTTCAAACAAAAGTTGCATGGTATCTAGGGTGACATACAGTAGGGTGACATACTAATCTGTTTTTTATTACCTTACTTTTTTATTGAGATATTAGGCTCACATTCAGTCTTTTAAATGGAATGTCTGATATTTTTTTTCGAATTCGGATAAATCATGAGATTTTTCGTAAAAAAGTATTATTACAAAGTGGGACTTAACATGAATAATTACTGAGATATCTTCAAATTAATAATCTTCTATTAGGAAATACGCTCAGTCAGCGTGATTCTTAACACGACTTAGTTTTCTTGTTTTATAAATATCTCAGTAATTATTCATTTTAAGTCCCACTTTGTATAATACCTTTTCACAGAAATATTAGACATTCCATTTAAAAAACTGAAGGTGACCCTAATATCTCAATGATAGAGTAAGGTAATAAAAAACAGATTAGAGCACTGTATGTCCCCCTAGACACCACGCAAATTTTGTTTGAAACATTTTTTCGTACAACGAATAACTTACGAGTTATTTGAAGTCGTGTTAGGAGACTCGCCCTGCATACTGTGTTACTTTTAATTGTGTTAGACGGTGTTTATGCTGCGCTAAACAACGAACAAAAGTCTGGTAGTTCTTTTTAAGCACGTTGTGGTTCTAATGTTTCATTAACGCGATGGTAACATTGAAATATCGATATCGTTGAACACGTTACATCACGGGTCCATTTATACGATTGAAATTGCTGTCAAACCAGCGAGAGGTCGAGGAATTAATTCGTGTCTAACATTTTGTTTTAACTCAGGCGGAGATCAATATTTCCTTAGAATATTAATGATTGAAATTATCCTGAATTAACGTCTAATTATCGCTTACCGGCTCAGTGGTAGTCTGGCTACTCGTTATAGCAAAAGCAACTATATCTGTAATATTAAACGAATTTGGTTTCGTTGCCTGGTCCTAGTCTTCCTTCCTGTCGAATTTTATAATCTAGATCGATACTCCCAACGAACCTTCCACTTCTAATTTCACTTTTTTCTATTTCTGGTTTTGGTAGGACTATTATGTCGTCGCTGTAGAATTTCCTTGAATTTTCATTCCAATATTTTTCGCTTTCGAAAAAGTTTATCCCGAGTGACACTCAGGCAGTGATTCTTAGGAAGAATGTTAGAAAGGGACGAGATATTATCAAGACTGTGACGTAGGGTTATGAACGCTGTGTTTTAAAAACAATCACACACGACGTAATTATTAAAAAGATACGTGTAAAATATGAATTTCATTGACTCTTCATAATTACATTAGACTGTCAAAGGGTGAAGCTTACGGGATGACCTAACAATTCTACTGATAATTACATTCGAACCGTATAGTGGAACTCCTTTAATATGTACGTCGCCTCTGCCTTTTTACTACTCACGATGCACATGCTTACCAGTTCTTATGCATTT